CACACACACACACACACACACACACACACACACACACACACACACACACACACACACACATACACACGCACACGCATGTCAGAGCGACAATGGAGCTGATCAATTCAGCCCCGCAGATGAAATAAACATCCCTATACATAACTGCCTGAAGACGAAGACGCGAATATAATATAATCAAATAGATGGATAAGCATTTTTAACCGTTTACCTATTGCATCTGTCAACCTGTATCATAACATACCTTAACGGGGATAGTTTATAATTAACGTTCATAATTAAAAAATCGGTGATATCAGAGCAACCTGCATCCAGGTCTGTTTTAAAATTTTGTTTAAAAGATGGATAATGTGTAAAAAAAACCAGCGTAGTCATTTTAACTAATATTTGTACCGTACCGTACCGTACATACTGCAAAATTTGATCCCACATTTAACTAGTCCGGGCAAGGGGCGGGTCTGGCGCGCGTTAAATCGTACCGTACAGACACACAATTCTGAAGAGTGCTAGGTTGCCACGGGTTGATTGTGCATGCTCAGTTTAGCTTGTTACGCCACTCAGCAGACAGCTACTGTTTACTTTTATGTGACATAAATAAGGCTATAAGCATGCATATTGCAAAATAGCACGGGATTTGGCCTGCGTGTTGCGTACACACATAGTTTAGAGCGGGCCAACTTAGTCCAGGCTAACTTAGCCCTCCTTCATTTGCGAGGCCAGATTAGTCCGGACTAGCAAGTATTTAGAGTGGGATAGCGTGTACACACTGCAAAAATTTGGCCCGCGCTAGGCTCGGACTAATTTGATGTGGTGTCAAACTTGCAGTCTGTGTGGGGTATAACCTATACGACACTTTCGTCTACATTCCAGTGAGCTAAACCATGTAGCAATTAAAATTGAATCTTTAAACTCCACCAAAAAATAAAACTATCGACATTATTTTTAGTGTTAGCGATAGCTATCAGATTAAACACGTTACACACTCCCTTGGATTTACTCCGCATGTTTTTAAGAAATTGTAGGATTGTATGTAAATGTCAAAGAAATTTAGGTACATACCTTAGTTTTCACATAGGCATAATCAATTGTTCACTTATAGGTGCATAGCTCAAGAAATTTGCCGCGTCTTAAATAACACAAAAAGTAACAGAGGTTACAACCAGATAGGTATATTTACTAGAGACGTCTAAAAACAACCCGATACTTACCAATTACATTATAATGATAGTTTAATATTCTCATTGTCGAATTACTTCATGTAAAATGTATAACTGATGCAATATACAACTTAACAGACAAAAGAATATTCTAAAATCAGACGTTATCAAAAGAAATCATCAATTATGACAAACACTATGAAAAATGTGATACAGACTTAGATTGCAATAGTGAAGGTGGGAATCGATTACATTTAATTGATGATAAACGGTCAAATTTCAATAATGCGCTGTGTATATCACTATAAGTTCATGTTTTGATACAGCCAGGTATAAGGGAAGTTATCTCTATTTCTAACGGATACTATTTCTACTACAGTGTCCCTGTTAAACATTACAAAAAAAACAGACGATTGGATAGTACTTTTGAGGCTACTAAAAGACTCAGTTGTGTTAATTAAATAGCTGGTGGATCATACCTGCTGTTTCCTGCTGGATATATTGCAACTAGGTAAAACTACAAGTCTTGTATAAGGCGAAGAAGCAGGCAGTCACAGGATAATCTTCTTTTATTCAATGCACAGTACAGTTACAATCATCAGACGTATTCTCTATTCCCGTCTCTCTTTATACACCGCTACCCTTACCCCTCTGCCACCTACATTATATTACATATATATATATATATATATATATATATATATATATATATATATACTATATGTTGTTATATATTATTTATTTCATATTACAGCCGGACGAAGAGACGCCTTGTCACAAAAGCTCACATTTAACATAAAAGACACCGTATCTCTGTATTTGTAGTTTATAAATTTATCGGTATTTTATTATCGGTCGGCGCAGTTATTAATGCCTATCCATCTATTTAATTGTTTATTTATTCGCGGCTTCGTCTTCAGGCAGCTATGTATAGGGACGGTTTCTTCATGTGCGGTGCGGAATTGATCTCAGAGACTGTCGCTCTGACGGCCGCTCACTGCGTCCACAGGTGATATTATATGAACAGTATGCAAACGCACGCACACACACGCAAGCACACGCACGCACACACACGCGCGCGCACACACACACGCGCGCGCGCACACACACACACACACACACACACACACACACACACACACACACACGCACGCACACACACGCACACACACACACACACACGCACACA